ACAAAAGTCGAACAAAAATAACGACGATAAAATAAGTTGCTGAGAATTTTTTTTTTCGAAGATCAAAATAAAGAATAAAAGTGACTTCGGGAATAACACGTGTTGGGTTGGCATATTTGATAATTAAATTGAGTTAACCATCAGAAACGAACCGATTCAGATGCACAAAAGATTCCCTCCAAAAAAATTCTTTCATTCAACAATTTTTACACATTTTCTAAAACACAAAGAGGTAAAAGAGAGAAAAGAAATGCCAAAAAAAAGGTTGACAAATCAAAAATTTGTGGATGGAACAGAGTGATGATATTGTACACAGAGACTGTAAAACTGAAGTAAATCTATCTTAAAACTCCAAACAGCTGGTAATGTTTCACCAAACTTTACGACAAAAAAATACTGTTGACATAATCTGGTCAACTTTTTTTTTCCTTCCCAACCCAAAATACAGCACAAATTGTAGCTGCAAACAAAAAAAAATCCTTTATTTGAAAAAAAAACATCGATAACAAGTGAATAATCAAATACTTTAAAAGGAAAGTAAAGAAGACAAAAAAATAACAGGAAATATAAAATTTCAACTAATTTTTGTGCACAAAATTAAATTTTTTTCTTTCTCATTCTGCCGCTAAAAAGTTGAAAAAATTATATAAATCGTAAGAAACATTAGGATACCATTGAGAGGTGACGGAAGGTGAGAAGAAAAAAATTTTTTTTCAGCAACAAAATATGCATAAATAAGAAATATAATTTCACTTTTTCTCACAGTAAAAAACCCTACTGAAAAGTAGCAGAAAAAATAGATGAAAATATAGCAAAAAAAAAAGCAATCACAAAGAATTTTTCTGAATTTTTTTTTTTTTGCTTGGAAACACATAAGAAAAAAAAGGCTATCAACTGATACTGTCCGATATATATGCCAAAATATTTGCTCGTCTTTTTTTCTCTTGTAAAAATAAATAAGTATATGAAAATACATAGAATAAAACGTAAGTTAATCACCATATCGACAACTCTAAATAAAACAACAGAAAACTGAGAAAAAAAATTCACAATTCTTTAGCGTCATCATCTTTTGATATTGAACAACGCATTTCCATCGTCAACAGATTTGTCAACGTTACAGAAGAAGGACAACGGAAGATAAAACTTTAATCTGTCCACTTCCTTTTTTTTTCTTGAACCCAATCCTTTCCTCAGCCATTTTAAGATGAACAAAGAAAAAGTTCAAAAAAAAAAAAAGACATTAAAATTACCCTACATTTATGGAGAACAATTATTACTATTTTTTCTTTTTTACAAAATTTTACCAAATTTAGAATCTCCTAATCAGCAACAACGACACAACGACTGCAACCAATAGTCCAAAGAATAGCAAATATACGAAAATATAAGTTAATGAGAGACACAAATAAAGTATAATGATGACTGGCCCCTTCAAATAAAAAAGTGCACAGATGGTCGTCCATCAAATTATAGAAATCAAAAAAAAAATCTTTTGTTGTAGGATAAAAAACTGATGATTACTGATGACAGATTGCCCACTGGTAGGATTCATGCTTAACTAAACAAATATTAAACTTTTAAATTGTGTAAAAAAAATAAGAACTTTATTTGTTCAGTAATTATCATTTATATCTAACAAGCACAAAAAAAATATTCTTAACTGACAACTTACGTTTAACCAATATTTCCAGAGCTAAAAAATTTGTTAATAAACGATACAATACCTTTCCTATACAATTAAGTTTTACAAAAATTTCATTTTGACTTTTTTACCTCTTCCCCCTCGATCACTTTTATCATGAATTTCAGTTGTGTAACAGAATAATCACCGACACATTAAAATGGTTATAAAATTACGGATTTAAGATGACAAAAACGGAAAAACAAGAAAAAAAAAGCAGTCACGTTATAAAACATTATTATATACAAAATACACCTTTGACTTAAATAGTATCCATTGACCATACCCATTTTTCTATCATTACCGGATAAATGAATC